CCAGCAGGGTTTCCCCTGCATGAGATGGCTCTAACTATTTAGAGCAGAGAAGGATGTACAAAAAGTGCAGTGGTTCAGGGCTTCTCCTCTACGCTCGTCCCACCATCTGTCCGCCTGATCCAGTACCTTCCCAACTCATCAGAGCTCTCACCCCTTGTCTTGTACCATCCTTAACACACATCCTAAACTGCTCTCTTTCAACTGGTGTTGTCCCTGCTCCCCTTAAGCATGCTGTCATACCCATCCTAAAAAAGCCATCCCTAGACCCGTCTTCCAATTATCATCCCATATTCCTACTTCCTTTTTCCTTAAAACCTTTTAGAAAGACCTGTCTTTACTCGTATGACTCACTTCCTAAATTCAAACTCCCTCCTCAATCCTTTTTAATCTGGCTTTCGCCACCTCCACTCTACTGAGACTGCACTTATTAAAGTTACAAATGACCTAATCACAACCAAACCCAAAAGCCACTACTCCATACTAATTCTTCTTCACCTCTCTGCTGCCTTTGACACTGTTGATCATGGCCTCCTTCTCCTAACTCTTCAATCTCTTTGTCTCTGTGACACAGCCCTCTCATGGTTCTCCGCCTATCTCTCCCAACACTCCTTTAGGGTCTTTTTCCAACAGCACCTCCTCTCCTGGTCCGGTCTCAGTTGGAGTCCCTCAAAGCTCAGTTCTTGGTCCCCTTTTGTTCTTTCTCTATAATGCCTCTCTTGGCAAACTCATTAATTCATTTGGATTCCACTACCACCTGTATGCTGACGACACCCAGATATATCTCTCCTCACCTGACCTCTCCCCTGCTGTCCTACAACGTGTCACCAATTGCCTTTCTTCTATCTCTGATTGGATGTCCTCCCGCTTTCTGCTTTCTGAAACTCAATCTCTCTTAAACAGAGTTTCTTATTTTTCCTCCTCATAACAATGATCCTCCTCATTCACTCTCCCTGCAGGTTGACAGTACTTTGCCCACCCCATTCTTTCAAGCTCGCTGTTTCTGTGTCACTTTTGATCCTGGCCCCACCTTTGCGCCTCATGTCCAGTCTGTTGCTAACACCTGTCGATTCAAACTTAAAAACATTGCCCACATACCCCCCTTTTCTTATGCAAGATGCTGCCAAGGAGCTTGTTCATGCTCTAGTAATCTCTCACATCGATTACTGTAATTATCTCCTAATTGGTCTCCCCAGAAGGTGCACTGCCCCCCTACAATCTGTGGTGAATGCTGCTGCCAGGCTGATCTTTCTCTCCTGTCGCTCCTCTCACACCGGCTTCCTGTCCCCTACAGGTGCCAAATTAAAAAACTAACCATTACCTTTAAAGCTCTAACTAACTCTAGCCCCCCTTACATTTCTTCACTGATTCATAGGTATGCCCCCTCTCTGTCTCTCCGCTGTACTGGTGACCACCTCCTTTCTGCTGCTCGCACCCTTACTGCAAATTCACGCCTGCAAGACTTCTCACAGGCAGCCTTTGGAACAGCCTGCCTACCCCTGTCAGACACTCCCCTACTCTTCAATCCTTTAAGAAGTCCCTCAAAACCCCTCTTTTCAGGAATGCTTATGGCCTCCAAGAGTAACTTGTATCTCTCAAACCTTCCTCTCACTCTCTCCTATAGGACCACACTCCACGCTCACCTCCAACTCTGCTACTTTCCCACCATGTCTATTTGCGGTCTCCCTCAATACCCTTCTGTGACAAACTCCCCCTTTCAAGTGAGTTTGCCACAAGTTTTTAGAGGGGACTACTTGCCAGCCTTTTACCATGTGACTATGGCCCCTGCAATAGAATTGGCTGATATACTTCAAACAGGCGCTGTTCGTGCAATTGGGACTATATGGTTCATTTACAGAGACAACCCTGGAGCTTGTTAACACCCAGTGGCGTACTAAAGGGGGAGGCGGCGGGGGCGGTCCGCCCCGGGTGCCACTCACTAGGGGGAGCCCAGGGTGAACTTTCAAAGGGGCGGCATTCCCATGCAGCAGCAGCAGGTCCTCTGTTCTCGCGATCCGCGGGTTGCCATAGCAACCCACGGCAACGCTCTCGCGGATCGTGAGAACAGAGGACCCTGCTGCTGCTGGATGGGAAACAAGCATGCAGAGTTCTGGGCCCCTCTTCACTGCCCATCTAAAGCTGTGCCACTGGACCACCAGTTGAGAAGGATGGGACGGGCAGGTAAGTGGCAGCACTTATTCCACACAACATACACACTGCATCTATATACTATCTTTATATAAAAAAAAAAAAGGAAGGAAAAGGGAAGGGAAAAAGAAAAGAAAGAAAAATGTTTTGATAACTTTTTTTATGTGTCTTTAAAAAAATTATTTTTAAATGAAATGACTGTCATAATAGAACTGATTGAGACACATTTTATGAGATTGCGAGTATTCTATTCATGTTGTTAGGATGAAATACATGTATATTTGCACTTTGGAAATTGTTGAACTGTTGAATACATATAAGTCCCATCAGGGTTTTTTGGCACTTTAATACCCGTCTTTGACCAACTGAAACGCAATATGTTTCACTGAAGCCGATCCTGACAGATACAGAATCGGACGCTACCGGATATGACGCGGATAACCCGGAAGTAGGAGGTGAAACGCAGGATGCGTTCCACCAAGAAAGAACGTGAAAATCAGAATTAAAATACAGTATTTAAGAAACCAAAGGACACAACAGCATTACCCACAACTTTGGACGCTAGCAGACTCTGTATTTGCATTTATTTTATCCAGTGTTTTATTTAATAAATTTATCTTTGGAATTAATTTCATCTCTGCTGCCTATCCTTGGGAAAGAAGTACCAAACATCTTTAAAACACCACCAAAGGGGTTTGGATCACCCAAAAGAGATCCCAAGGAGATTCATACCAGAGCCAGTATATGGCTCTTTCTTTGTGAGTGTTTGAGTAGTATTTGTTTGACATATATATTGAGATGTCTGCACTATTATGTACCTCTCTATCTTTACAGTGATACAGTAAGAAGAGAGGGAAGTATATCTTTATTTGCCACAACTTGCTCCACCTATTTTTTTGTGTGTGTTATGTATGATTTAAGGTGAAGGTGTAGGGGATACCTCACAGGTGTTAAGAGCTAGTATCACTTTTGTAGACATACCATTCTTTGTGTTTCACACACTCCATACACTATACACACACACTATACACACACACACTGCACACTATATGCACTATACACACACTGAATCCACTATACAAGCGCACACACTGCATCCACTACGCAAACACACACTTATACATGGGTATCTGTATGTCTGTGTATCTGTTTGTGTGTCTGTGTATCTGTATGTATGTGTATCTGTACAGGGAGTGCAGAATTATTAGGCAAGTTGTATTTTTGAGGATTAATTTTATTATTGAACAACAACCATGTTCTCAATGAACCCAAAAAACTCATTAATATCAAAGCTGAATATTTTTGGAAGTAGTTTTTAGTTTGTTTTTAGTTATAGCTATGTTAGGGGGATATCTGTGTGTGCAGGTGACTATTACTGTGCATAATTATTAGGCAACTTAACAAAAAACAAATATATACCCATTTCAATTATTTATTATTACCAGTGAAACCAATATAACATCTCAACATTCACAAATATACATTTCTGACATTCAAAAACAAAACAAAAACAAATCAGTGACCAATATAGCCACCTTTCTTTGCAAGGACACTCAAAAGCCTGCCATCCATGGATTCTGTCAGTGTTTTGATCTGTTCACCATCAACATTGCGTGCAGCAGCAACCACAGCCTCCCAGACACTGTTCAGAGAGGTGTACTGTTTTCCCTCCTTGTAAATCTCACATTTGATGATGGACCACAGGTTCTCAATGGGGTTCAGATCAGGTGAACAAGGAGGCCATGTCATTAGATTTTCTTCTTTTATACCCTTTCTTGCCAGCCACGCTGTGGAGTACTTGGACGCGTGTGATGGAGCATTGTCCTGCATGAAAATCATGTTTTTCTTGAAGGATGCAGACTTCTTCCTGTACCACTGCTTGAAGAAGGTGTCTTCCAGGAACTGGCAGTAGGACTGGGAGTTGAGCTTGACTCCATCCTCAACCCGAAAAGGCCCCACAAGCTCATCTTTGATGATACCAGCCCAAACCAGTACTCCACCTCCACCTTGCTGGCGTCTGAGTCGGACTGGAGCTCTCTGCCCTTTACCAATCCAGCCACGGGCCCATCCATCTGGCCCATCAAGACTCACTCTCATTTCATCAGTCCATAAAACCTTAGAAAAATCAGTCTTGAGATATTTCTTGGCCCAGTCTTGACGTTTCAGCTTGTGTGTCTTGTTCAGTGGTGGTCGTCTTTCAGCCTTTCTTACCTTGGCCATGTCTCTGAGTATTGCACACCTTGTGCTTTTGGGCACTCCAGTGATGTTGCAGCTCTGAAATATGGCCAAACTGGTGGCAAGTGGCATCGTGGCAGCTGCACGCTTGACTTTTCTCAGTTCATGGGCAGTTATTTTGCGCCTTGGTTTTTCCACACACTTCTTGCGACCCTGTTGACTATTTTGAATGAAACGCTTGATTGTTCGATGATCACGCTTCAGAAGCTTTGCAATTTTAAGAGTGCTGCATCCCTCTGCAAGATATCTCACTATTTTTGACTTTTCTGAGCCTGTCAAGTCCTTCTTTTGACCCATTTTGCCAAAGGAAAGGAAGTTGCCTAATAATTATGCACACCTGATATAGGGTGTTGATGTCATTAGACCACACCCCTTCTCATTACAGAGATGCACATCACCTAATATGCTTACCGTATATACTCGAGTATAAGCCGACCTGAATATAAGCCGAGGCCCCTAATTTTACCCCAAAAAACTGGGAAAACGTATTGACTCGAGTATAAGACTAGGGTGGGAAATGCAGCAGCTACTGGTAAATTTCTAAATAAAATTAGATCCTAAAAAAATTATATTAATTGAATATTTATTTACAGTGTGTGTATATGATGAATGCAGTGTGTGTGTATGAGTGCGCAGTGTGTGTGTATGAGTGTGCAGTGTGTGAGTATGAGTATGCAGTGTGTGAGTATGAGTGTGCAGTGTGTGAGTATGAGTGTGCAGTGTGTGAGTATGAGTGTGGTGTGTGTGTATGAATGCAGTGTGTGTGTGTGAATGCAGTGTGTGAGTGAATGCAGTGTGTGTGTGAATGCTGTGTGTGTATATGAGTGCAGTGTGTGTGTGAATGCAGTGTGTGTGAATGCTGTGTGTGTATGAGTGCAGTGTGTGTGTGAATGCTGTGTGTGTGTGAATGCTGTGTGTGTGTGTGAATGCTGTGTGTGTATATGAATGCTGTGTGTGTATATGAATGCAGTGTGTGTGTGAATGCTGTGTGTGTATATGAGTGCAGTGTGTGTATGAATGCAGTGTGTGAGTGAATGCAGTGTGTGTGTGAATGCTGTGTGTGTATATGAGTGCAGTGTGTGTGTGAATGCAGTGTGTGTGAATGCTGTGTGTGTATATGAGTGCAGTGTGTGTGTGAATGCAGTGTGTGTGTGTGAATGCTGTGTGTGTATATGAGTGGTGTGTGTGTCTGATGCAGTGTGTGTTTGTGTTGCAGAGCCTTGGTGGGGGGGTGGGCATTTTTATAAAAAAAAAATTAATATTATTTTAATTTGTTTTGTTATATTATTATTATTTTTTTATTATTTTTTATTATTATTTTTATTATTATTTATATTACTTTTAATATTATTTTTATTATTATTTATATATTATTAATTTATATATTTTGTTGTCCCCCCTCCCTGCTTGATACATGGCAGGGAGGGGGGCTCTCCTTCCCTGGTGGTCCAGTGGCATTGGCAGTTCAGTGGGGGGAGGAGGGGGGCTGGCAGAGCTGTTACTTACCTCTCCTGCAGCTCCTGTCAGCTCCTCCTCCTCCGCGCCGGTCCGTGCAGCTCTTCTGTCAGCTCACACTGTAAGTCTCGCGAGAGCCGCACTATGACCCCGCGGCTCTCGCGAGACTTACACTGGGAGCTGACCGAGGTGCTGACCGGACCGGCGCGGAGGAGGAGAGGAGCTGGCAGGAGCTGCAGGAGAGGTAAGTAACAGCTCTGCCAGCCCCCAGTCTGTATTATGGCAATGTAAATTGCCATAATACAGACTGACTCGAGTATAAGCCGAGTTGGGGTTTTTCAGCACAAAAAATGTGCTGAAAAACTCGGCTTATACTCGAGTATATACGGTAATTGGTAGTAGGCTTTCGAGCCTATACAGCTTGGAGTAAGACAACATGCATAAAGAGGATGATGTGGTCAAAATACTCATTTGCCTAATAATTCTGCACTCCCTGTATGTGTGCCTGTGTCTTTCTCTGTATGTGTGTTTGTATCTGTATGTATGTCTGTATCTGTGTATGACTGTGTTTATATATAACTGCATGTGTGTACCTGTGTGTCTGTGTATCTGTATATGTGCCAGTGTGTGTATATGTGTATATGTACATACATCTCAGCATTTCATCTACACTACACACAAATACAACCCTGCATCCAAATGTCAACACTACATAAAAAGACACCACCATATTCAAAAACCACACTACAGAAAAATGCACGTCTGCATTCAAATGCCAATATGTGCAAACACACCCGTACATTCACTCACACAAACTCCATACAAAAACATGCTTACATTAAAAATATACTCAAAACAAAAGCACATGGAGAGACAAAGTTGTATGAAAATAGCCAGGTGCAAACCATATAAACACTCCCTCAAATGTTTCAAATATCCAAATATCTATAGAATATAGAATGCTCACCATAATCTCAAAAAACTTAGCTTTATTATGTACAAAAAGTACTAAAGTGAAAACATACAATAAAAATAAACACAATGACAGAAGCAAGGGCAAATACAATAAAGAAATGGTAAAATACCAAAGATTCTTACAAGCCTCAAGACAGAAACAAGAGTCACCAAACCCCCCAACGTTTCGGCACCAACTGGCTGCCTTTATCAAGGGTACCTGTATCCATGTTCAGATGTGCCTGGCCATCAGCATAAGGTTGTTACTAACTCCGGAAGTGACATCATCACTTCAAGTGCTGGCACAATATTTTAATAGTAACATAGAAATATCAAATAAGAATCAATTGTGTGCACTAAAGACATTCACAGAGTAAAGAAAGTCATATAACCTAAATAATAAATATTACTGCTCGGATAACGAACCTCTAGTACATATACAAACAGTAAGTATGCTCACACTGTATCTGGCGTCTATAATCGCCATTTTACTCACTGGCAAGACTAGAGCTAATTCCCCATTCAGCTCCAGGAAGGAGGTGGCGGCTCCAGGACCCCAGTCAAGCGAGTGCTGAGGTTTTACCCACTGTTCCAGCTAGGAAGTGGTCCTTGGTTGAGGGACCCAGTCGGGGTACCAGGTGATCCGTTACACCTTCCTATTGTGTTTTTATACCCCTCCTATTTTAGACTGTAAGCTTGTTTGAGCAGGGTCCTCAACTACCTATTGTTCCTGTTACATTTTGTTATTGTCTCATTTGGTAAATTCCCCTTTTATTGTAAAACGCTGCGGAATAAGCTGGCGCTATATAAATACCAATAATAATAAGAACTTATATATCAAAGTTACTATAATGACAGAAAGTATTTATCAAGTTTTAAAAGTATACACAGATTCTTCCCAGTAGTAAATTTGAGGCTGTGCTTTATTTGTGAATACTCTCTGACGAGTCTGTCTATGTGTACATGAGACTTGCTTTACTCCACCTTTTCCCACTCCAGTTTGTCCATGTGTAACATTTGTTTTCATTATTTTTGAGACATTTTAAATATTACTCTAGTTTATGAGACAGATGCACCTGTAATATTGGTACAGACCTATCTGGACTCTTTGTAAGGCTTTGTACATTCCTAATGTTACTTAAAAGATCAAGTATCAAAGTGCTAATTGTCAGACCCATTACAGATGACACACTGCTTACTGGGGATCTACTTAATATCACTCACCTGCAAATAGTAACTTCAAAGCAATGCCCCTAATCCATAGAAGGCTTCAGTTTTCCCCTTTTCATGTCTACACATTTTGCATGCATGGGAACACAGCATGGAAAAACATTTTATACTAGAACACAAAACAAAGTTTTTGAATGTGCAAACACATACAGATCTTTTTTGAGATATGTTTTGAGACTTTTTGAAAACTATGTAAAATAAACATTTATTTTCAATTGTAACATCTAGTGGCAATGTTTTCAAAGATGTGAATTACAAAGGATAATACTGGGAAAAATGATGGAACCAAGTTGTGACAGAAGCTAACGTGCCATGGACTTTTGCAGAGGCTTGGAGGCCAGCCTCCTGCCCACGGACTAGTGGTCTGGCCCCAACAGCATCGAAAAGGGGATATTGTCACTTTGGGGAGGTGTATGGGGGACGAGACGAACTTCAGAACCTCTAGGGAGCACCTCACCAGAGATATCCTGAAACACTCTGGAACTGTGCCAATGTCTGGTAAATCTTTACATGGGTGTCACTTGGTCCCGAGACCTCCAAATAGAGAGCTATTTGGAGGGGAGGTGAGGCATTCCAGGATACCTGAGACTTGAGTGCACTCTCTTCCCCAGGAGTCTGAGAACTTCTTTTGCGAGACCAGGACTAAGTCACCGCATGCCTGGAACAACTTGCTGGAGCGGTGGATGGCTGCGACACAGTAAATATTTAAAATGCTGTACCTTTTGCATGCTTCTCCGATCATGGTGCCATTTGGACAGCAAGGGTGCTCTGTGACAAGCTTTCCATGGATATATTGTGTGGGAGTACGGTACATGAAAAGGGGATTCTGTTGGACAGCTTGTGTCCTGGGCCTGAAGAACTGGGAGAGCACAGCCGGGAGTTGATTGTGTTGGATAAGGATAATGAAATTAAGTCCCCAGGGGAGGGACGAGCTGATCTGGCATAGTCGGAGTACAGGAGTTCCATCACACAAGTGGACTAAGGGGAAAAAGAACTCTTGTGATCAAATATCAATAAAGTGGTTTAAACTTGATAGCTTTATTAGTTAAATAAAGCGTACTACAAGCTCTCAGGGCACTAAGATCCCTTATTCAGTCTGATTTGAAAATTAAACTGGAATTACAGAGTATATATATATATATATATACATACACACACACACACACACACACACACAGACAAACAAATGTAAGTAAGGGGAGAGATTACCTGGCATGTCCAACACTTTTGCAGTGATCATATAATCTGTATACAAAATACAAGGAAATCAGCACTAATTAACAAACAATATGTTGATAGGCAGCAACCCAAACAAAGGAGACCCCTCAAATCCTTCAATAAATAGATGACACAATACAAAGAGATGGCGTAGGGCTGCGCCAGCAGAAAACAAAAGTAACGTAAATTCGTCCAAAAGAGTCTCACTAGATAAACAATGCTTGAGGGAATGTACAGGTGCAAGAAAAAGTATGTGAACCCTTTGAAATGATATGGATTTCTGCACAAATTGGTCATAAAATGTGATCTGATCATCATCTAAGTCACAACAATAGACAATCACAGTCTGCTTAAACTAATAACACACAAAGAATGAAATGTTGCCTTGTTTTTATTGAACACACCATGTAAACATTCACAGTGCAGTTTAAGCAGACTGTGATTGTCTATTGTTGTGACTTAGATGATGATCAGATCACATTTTATGACCAATTTGTGCAGAAATCCATATCATTCCAAAGGGTGCACATACTTTTTCTTGCAACTGTAGAGGAGTAGACTTTTCAGTAGGGGTGGGTGCATCCTAATGTCTTAGGGTATTTGTATATATGAAAGACAAAGAGACATGGGCAGCCAGTAGTGCAATACGTCTAAAATCAAAAGAGTAAAATAGTAGTAGGAGGTAGAGAACTCACATTTTAAAAGAGCTATGGCCAGCTCTGGTGTGAAGGGCGTACAGCGGTATAATCCTCGCTTATGGGATATTTGAAGAGAGTGCGTCTATCAACACCGTCTGGTCATCCAAATAAAAAGAGGCGACAATAGTGCTCTCAATTGGATAAGAGTAAGTAAAAGTAAATAAAATAATACTCACAGGCCTAGAGCAGAAACACTGCTCTATTAATAAGGCGTTGATGGTATGATCCCTACCTGGGATTTCTTTAAGCGCAAGAACAATAGTAAAAAGCCAGGAAAGTAAAAATAAAAAGTGCATAAAAATACAATAAAAAGAGAATTGGCACAGTAAAGTAACCAAA